TAAGTTATATGTATTAGGTTAAATTGCTTAATAAGTTATATGTATTAGGTTAAATTACTTAATAACTTATATATAATAGATTAAATTATTTAATAAGTTATATGTAATAGGTCAAATTATTTAATAAGTTAATTGTAATGTCAAAATTAAGTTCGTTGTATTATCAAAATTATGATAAAATAAAATTTCAAAAATTTTTTTTCTTTTTTTTTTAAAAAAAAACATTTAGAAAATATAACTGTGACTGATCGTTTTTTTTCTTTTTGTTTTTACCAATTGAAATTAAATTACTTTGGTTTTTTTTTTTTTTTTTTTGTTTTTTGTTCAATATCTAATCAACATTTTACATCATTGTTAATATATATTTAAAGGAAAAAAAAAAAAATTGGTATATGTAATTAATAATTGAAATAATACATTACGTTTGTAATTTTTAATAAATTTTTTTTTCCAATTTTATTTTTTTTCATTCTTTTCTTTTTTTTTGAAATTTCAGTGTCAAATTGTTCAAATTTGGAAAGACTGCTATATTTGTTATGTGAACAAGAAAAGGAAAAAAAAAGAAAAAAAAATTCCTTCGTTTCTATCACAACGAGAAAGATTACAAAATCGCTATCGCTTTTCCTATTCGTCATCTAACCACTATTAGCCATTTACTATTGTCATCATCGACATTTCTACCATTACTACTACTACTACTACTACTGCTACTACTACCACTACTACTACTATTACTACTACTACTACTACCACTACTACTACTACTACTACTGCAACTACTACTATTACTACTACCACTACTACTACTACTGACTACTACTACTACCACTACTACTACTACTACTACTACTACCATTACCTACTACTGCTCTTACTAATATCACACTATTATTATCACTACTACTGTTATCGCTGCTACTATTATACTTTTTATAATTTATAAAATTATTTCTACTTTATTCTTGTAAATTTAATATTGATTAATATATTATGCCTACAGTTTTTGTCCCAAAAATGCCTCATTTATTCGTAACCGAAATGAATATATTATATCCAAAATAGTTTAATTAAAATAGGATAAATTAATATTTCATTATTTATCTATCAATAATTGCTATACATTATTCTTTTGCATCCATCTTTCCTTACCGTATCATAGCAAAGAATTACACTTTTTTGTTTTTACTTTGCATTTTCCTCACATTATTATTTTCTTTGGTAAAAATAAAAAATTAAACAAAAAAAAAAGGAAACGAAGAAAAAGAAAAGGTCAAGAATACAAGAATTGAAAAAGAAATTATTAATTTCTCTTATTGGCAATGTCAAAGGTGAGATATTTAATTTTTTTTTTAATTTTTAATTTTTCCACTTTTTCATTTATGGAAAAATACATATTATAAATGTATTTAGTAAAAAAAAAGAAAAAAAAGAAAGAAAATAAAACTTTGAACGAAATATTACAATATAAATCAAATTTATTGAATTAATTTTACAAAATTAATTTAATTTCAGAATGTAAATTATCATTTAATTTCAGAATATACAATATACATTATTATTATTATTATTATTATTATTATTATTATTATTATTATTATTATTATTATTATTATTAATTTTACTAATTTCAGAATATACATTATTGGACATGTATATCTTATTTCATTTTCCCAAAGATCTCTCTCTCTCTCTCTTTTCTTTT